CATGGGTTCTCTCTGCTTCATCCCTTATTAATTGGGATCAAGCATTCATACCTCAGGAGTGACCTGAGTGACTTCCAGGCTAGTTTAAGACCTAAGCATCTGTGCAGATGTTGAGGGGAGGCCAGCCCTGTATTGCCAACTACAAGCTGACAAGGTGGGACAAAATGATTGTTCCTGGTAAGAATTGTGGTCCTACAGTTGTGCTATTCCTGTTGACTTGCCTGTACACCTCTTATCACCAGCTGGAAGCTGCAAGAGCTCTGGGGCACAGGCACAGCGCCAGCACTACAGGGCCTTGGCCTGGACTTAGCATTCCCAAGTGCTTACAGCAACTTGGAAACAGTAAGAAAAAATAGTAAAATAATGCTTGCAAAACTTAAAAAATAAAACAAAACCCACAAACACAGAAAAGAGAGAGAACACTCATGTCCATGGTAGGTGTAACAAAATGGAAAGCAAATCTACAAATCTACCTACTTTTGAGAAAGGAAGTGGTGGGGATGGTGGACTTCAGGAACACTGTACAACCAATTTAAGAACCAAATGAAGGATTTAAGCTGTGGATGCAGGATGAAGATACCAGAAGCTACAGTGATGAAGACAAGAGGTCCCAGCTGATGTGGGAGTGAGAAGGGACTGAGGTGATTGACAGAGGCTGAGGTGATTGAGCTGAGCCAGTCTGGCCTTGTCCACACAAGGAACAAACACCCTACGAGAAAGAGGACAGCCACTCATGAACCTGAGTTTTAAACCATGCTCAAAGTAACAGGGTGGTCAACACAAAGGTGAATTTCTCATACACAAAAGACAGCTGCATTAAATGAAACGTAACGAAATTAAATTAAAGGAGATCTCAAGATTTCATTTTCTTTCATGAAATGAAAATTCAATGAAATGAACTGAAAATGAAAAATGAAATGAAATCAAACATCAAAGATGAAATGAAATGAAACATCAAAAAATGAAGTGAACTGAAATGAAACTTCATGGGATAAAAGGAAAAGAAATTAAATGACAAAATGAAAGGAAATGTAACAAAATTAAATCAAATGAAATTTGTCATTTTATTTCCTTTTAGAAAATAAAATCTCAAGATTTTATTTAATTTCATTTTGTTACATTTCCTTTTTAAATTTTTTCATTTCATTTTTTTGCCTTTTCATTTATTTTCATGATATACATTAAATTTCATTTCATTCCTCGATTTGTAATTGCCTTTATTTTTTCTTTTTTGTATTTTAAAATTCTGTTTAATTTCCTTTTATTAAATAAAGTTTCATTTTATTTCATTCCTTGCTTTGTCATTTCACAAAAGAAAATTAAATCTTGAGACTTCATTTAATTACATTTCCTTATTTTTAATTTTCTTTCGATCAATTTGAATTAATTTCCTTCCTTTAAGTTATATTTTGTCTTCATTCCTTGATATCCTTTTCATTCCTTGAATGACGATTCATCTCATGAAAGGAAATGTCTAGATTCTTACCATTCACTTCATTTCATTCCCTGAAGTTTTATTTCACTTAATTCCTTGATTTTTGATTTAATTTCGTTTAATTTCATTCAGTGACGTTGCATTTATTTTAATTTCATTTCACTGCTTGATTTTTCATTTTGTTTCTCAGAAATGCAAACCGCCCATTTTTTGTGTCTTGGAGCCCTACCTCTTATTTTTGGAGCCCTAAATTCCAGGTGTTCATGTCTGGTGTTCCAGCGTTTGTGAAACGCCTGTGCTCTACAAGGGGTGCACATTTTAAATGAGAATTTGCAGCTATTGTCGTGGTCAGCTGACGCTGAGGATTTAAACTGGTGAGCCCTGGCGTGCTTTGCAGCCTGATAAACGTGACCGAGAGCTGCACCCCATCCAGAGAGAGAAGCAGCAGCACAGCGAGTGGCTCTGATAATTCAGCGATTTCACAGGGCAGCGAGGTGCCTCTCGCTTTTATTCCTCTACTCCTGAAAACTCTTGAGTATGTTCCATTCTCCTCGGAGTTAATGTTGAGCATAGCTTGAATGACTGAGAGTTTGACTACGGTCAAATTATTTCGTAAAAAAAAAAAAAAACAAAAAACCCAAACCAACCCAAAATTCCTACAGCTGCTAAGTGGAGCTTCTGTAAGCTTCCATGGAGGAGAAGAGGTCTGAGCTCTCTCCCGCTTTCCTCCCTGCACTCCGATCCCCCAGACGACCTTTAAAGAAAGGATCCCCATCTCATGTGAAAGCTGTCTGGCCACCTCACTGCCAGGGAAGCTTTCCTTTTGCTGAGTCCGCAGCCGAGGAGGAGGTGATCTAAGAGCTCCTGCTGCCAGGACGGGGAGGCTGCGCCTTCCCCTTTCCCCTCCGGGCTGTGCATTCCCACTGCTCGCCCTGTGCTGGCTCCGGGCCTCCTTGTGCAGCCTTCGGTGAGCTGACTCAACTCCCGATCCCGGCAAATCCCAGCGGATGCCTCTGTGCAGGGCGGCAGCGAGCTGCAGCACTGACTCACCCGCTCTGATGAAATCACGGCCATTGTTATTAGCAGCCCATCTCGGTCCGATAAAGCACAAGCAAGCTCAGATCGACTCACTCTCTACAGAGAGCTGAGTGTCTGCTGCCGCACACTGCTCTTGTTGGCACCTCTGCCAGGTGAGCGCGGAGAGCTGCTACTGCAGAACGAGCTACACGCCCACTCTGCTCCGATCAAAGTCACTCTCGAAGGGGCAGAAAAAAGGGCAGTTTCCCACACCCTTAGTCCTGGTAGTAAACTTGCAGTTGATTTTTTTCCTACATAAATTTTGATGAGAAAAACAAAAACCAAACCAAACAGAAAACCCCAACAACAACCAAATTTAAAAAAACCCATGTTGGTGCAGTCTGCTTCTAATTCAGCATTTCACAACCAAACCTTTGGTATGCTGCAAAAAACATCAACATCATCCCCCCAACACTAACAAAAACAACAACACCAGCAACAAAACTCTGGCAGAAAACATTCAGTCACAAGAAAGGGCACCAGGCACTGATTCCTGCTGTATGTTATTACCTGTTGGCACTGCAGTAGTACTCATCTTGGAATCTGACCAGGAAAAGGGACTGGTTAGTAGCACAAGGAAATTATGACACGTTCAGTACAGCACAGTCATAGAAGATACCTTCTCTCCTGATCTAGAGGTCATTTGCAATGTATCTCATATTTTTCCTGGATTTTCCTTTTTTTTTTTTCCTTTTCTGTGGCTGGATATAGAACCACAGAATTCATAGATGTGCATGAATCACAGACAGCACTGAAAGGTTTCAGAAGCACCACTTAAACAGAAACTCAAACTTCAGTCATTGTCTCAGGACACTGTCATCATTTTATAGCTTTAAGTGCACAGTAGTAGATGCACATCCTAAACTGCTTTTTCTTCCCCATTTTTACTGTTGTTTTTGTTTGTGACAAACTCACCATGGCTGTATCTTTCACAAATCCTGGTGGAAATGAGCCTACTTGGACTAGCGGGAGAAGCCACAAGAGGCCTACAGATCTTCTAATTTGTTTCTTCTTCCTCCCTTTGTTGCCTGGGCTAATTTTATTTCTGCATGTCTACAAGGATTCCTGCACGCCTGCCATTTGTGAAATTTTGCATTTTCATGATGGCAGGCTGGACATGGGCCAAGCACCTCTCACTCGCACAATGGCAGCGGACAATGTGCTTTGAATTTTCTCTGCACGCAAAGGTCGGTGACCCTTCCTCATTCACTTGCCTGTTTCCCTGCTACCCTGGAGCTCACAGATAAGTCATTGGCTGTTTTCTGCTGGCAGTTCTGCTTATATAAGAAACTTCTTTTGCATTTGATGCCAATTAAGGCTCATGAGTTCTGTCACATGAAAGTTGCCTCTAAAAAATTGGAGAAATTGGTAATGCTCTGCCCTCTTCTTCAGGGCTGTTAAAGGCTTTATCATGCACTCAGTTCATGGTTCCCCACTGAAATGCAAAGTTTTCAGCAGCAACGACGGGCTGGGTGTCAGAAGCTCTTTAGCTCATGCCTGTGTTTTAGCCAGTAAATGTAACTGCCTGGATCACCTAGGGAACATTAATGGTTTTGACTGACCTCCGTGGGGTTTCATCTAAAAGCACCTGAGCCAATTGCTTTGAACAAATATTTGAAATGAGATGTCTGCAGAGCACTTTCTCTCAGCAGAGAGGCACAAGCTGGGCCCAGGAGGGGCAGCAAGGTGATGGGCTGCAGCTGCAAGGAGGTGCATGAAGACTTCTGGGGCTGCACTGGGCAGGGATGGGCAACATTGCCAAACACTTCTCACACCAGTGTGGTGTAACCAGGCTCCTGGGCAAAGAGCTGCAGAACAAGAGTCTGAGCAGAGCCCTAGTCCAGATGGCCACAGTTCTGTCCCACCAGACATCCTTGTTGTCCCTGTGATGTGACACTGACATTGACTAAAGACCTGCTGCTTCCCAGCTGGGGTAGGGGTCACCCTTCCCCTGGCTGCTGGACTACACCTGTTGTGCCATTGCTCCTGCAGTGCAAAATGTCCCAGCTGATGGCACACTGCTGTTCAAGGCTGCTCAAGCCATGTAGTCCTGGCTGCTGGATCTTTTGCTTGTGACATCCTTGGTTACTCTCCACGAGGGCTGAAGGTAAAAGGGCCTTTCTAGAGCCTGCAGCATTGGGATCCTGTTGCAGAGGAAGGATGAGAGGTGCTGCTAAATAGGAAAATATCAGTAACAGGTGGCTGTTGTGAGAAGCTTCAAATTTCCTGCTCAGCCCACTGAAACCTCCATTTAAAAAACAACAACCACCACCCATGGACTTGTTTTCCTGGCACAAGAGGCTGGAACAGCAGCCTGAGCAGGTGCTGACTTGGTAGGTCATCTCCCTGGTGGCTCCTACCTGTAAGCAGTCCAATGGGAACCAGCCCTGACCCCGTGGTTTCTCCAGTGAGCACGGCTGCTACAGCAAACATGTACACCAAGGCAGAGAGACCTCTCTTTTGTGGCACAGAAAACTGCCTGCACATCTTTCACATCAAAGGAAATTTCCATTTACTCTTTTTATCTCAGCCTTATTAATCACATAGACATTTCCAACAAAATATTTGCAGCAGAACATAGGCAAAAAGTTCATTCAGACAGGAGCACAGCTCAGCTGTGCTCATCAAACTTATTTTACCATGTACAAGTCCAGCTTCCTCTGTTTCATTTGCTATGTTTGCCTTCCCACATACTTTTCCTACTTTTATCTCAGTTTACATTCTCTTCTCTCATGAACTGTCTTTCTTGCTTAAGAAAAATAACAAACAAAATACTCTTCTGGTTTTCCTCTTTATCCCTTCCCATTTTGGTTTCACAGTGGACTCTCTTGGGATACGTTCCAGACAGAGGTTTGGTTCTTTCCAAAACACTGGCAAATGTCAGGTAAGGTCAGAGCAGCACTGTCACCTTAAGGCTCCAGTCCCAGGTTGCTAATATGTGCCTCTTGCAGGAGCAATAGACTCTGAGGTGTGAATGAATCACACAGTATTAATAAGGATTGTGCTACAATTAAAACCTGTTGGAAGAAAGCGCAGGAAGGCTGGCAGGGTATGTGGTTAGAGGAGAGGAGTGTCTCTCCTTATGAAGTGGCCTGATCTGTGAGAGAGAGAATTTCATGGGAAGAAAATAGCATGGGACATAGAAAATGTCTCCATCCTAGAGCCCCTTCTATCCTTCCAAAATTCCCCACTTTGCCCTTGTATCTGGAGTCTTCACTGATTTGGGAATAGCCACAATCCTTAGCATTGCTCTTTTTCTGGGAGAAAAATGACTTTTACTGTGGGAGGGTACAAAAATGCAGGCTGACCCCTGTGCCTCCCAGCTCCTGCCATGTGCAGTACCTGCAGGCAGCACTGCAAGGCCAAAAGCAGAGGCAAGAGAGACTGGGCAAGGCAGCCCTGAGCTTGGCCCCTGCACAGGGCAGCAGAGCAAGGCCCTGGTGGAGTTATCACAGATGCCATGAGGCTGTCACCTCCTGGTAATTTTGCTGTCATTAGGTGCTGCTCATAATGAGAAATCCTGATTTTACTGTGGCTCTGGTATGCTGTCCATAATTAGTGTGCAGTCCTTTAATACTAATTACCTTAGGTATTAGTTCCTTAAACATCAATTCAAAAAATCACATGAAAATTTACCTCTTCCTCAAATGAGTCATGAGTTAACACAGGGGTACTTGCAAGGCACTACTTAGACTTGCTTAATTAGTTAATCTCTGTAAAGGGGTTTCAAATGCATGAAGAGCTATCAAACTGCTAAGTGCATTATCTTCAATTAATTTTATGCAACTACATCTTCACTACCAAGAGGGTCTTTAGAGTGCTGAGGAAAGGAAAAAGAGACATTGCTTCTAATTTTAAAAGTAACTAATACAGAAAATTGAAAGATGATTTGACATGATGGGAATAATTGTGAATACACCATTTCTTTTGTTTCAGCCAGATCTGAATATGAAAGATTCATCATTTTTATCCCTCCTTTGCCTTTGTTAGTCTCTGGTTTCTTGGTTCCATCTCCTCTTGGCCTTAATGCTCTCCCTCTCCCTCACTGAGTGTTAACCCTCTCTCTTCCAAATTTATTACTACCTTACTTCCAAATTTATTACTGCCTGGAGTCCTGAGCTTACACCCTCATACAAATGGTAAGGGATCTTGTTCCAAAAGAAGCCTCATGGACTTCCCTTCAGAAGAAGACACTAAAGGGCCAGAGCAGAGCTCCTGCAAGAGAACAGGGCCACATCCAGCCCAGGCAGTCATATTCCCTGGACCACTGTGGTAGCCAGTAAGTTCTAACTGAGTCTTTCAAAGTTTTCTATTCTCTATAGAGTTTATATGCCTTGTTAAATATTCTCATTTTACTTCACCCATTAACAATCTGCTTTTGGTGGAGTTCTCTCAAAATGGGTTCTTTGTGCTAACACTCTGTCTAGCTGGCAGCCTTATTCAGGCCAGCTACATTGAATTGGCCTTCCCCAAGAACCCATTTCCTGGGTTCTTTTTCTTCCACTGAGACTAACAAAAGGTAAGAACTTTTTGTTGTTGTTGTTGCTGAGTCTGATTTGTGCTTAGAGGTTTTCACTTGCCTATTCTTTCTTTTTCAATAATGATTAATCATCACTTCTCCTTGCTGACTGCTGAGGTCCCACATGTGAAAAATTCAGGCAGCTTGTTTCATATCAACATGCCTGAGCAGTGGTTATGCAGTAGAGTCCCCATCACAGGGTTTGTTAAGGGGACATGTAATGTGCATTTGCAATAAATTTCTATCACATCTGGGCATTCACTTAGCAGTTATTTGAAAACTTAATTTAATTAATTAATTTACCTTATTTTATCCAAAAGAAACTGGAATAGAGAATAGACTATTAGATGGCTACAGCTTTATTCTCTGCATACTGTAAAATAACAGCTTAACCTGTTGGATGGGACATTTCTCTAGTAAGCCAGAGCTGTGTACACGGTGATCCTCAGCACAGCAAGTTGTCAGGGAAAGAATTTCTGCCACCAAACCAGAGAAAACTCTCCAATTCCTCCCCAGTTCAGTTCTACAAAAGGAACCAGTGAGGAATATTAACTGTTATCCAATCCAGTGGATACTAATTTAGCTGAAGGGTCTGATCTTCTCTAATCAGACTATCTAGCTGAAGTGTAGGTACCTAAGAGAGCAGCTGGAAAATGGGAAGTTGCTAGGGGGTACAGAAAGAAGAGCAGGCCTACAAGAAGAAACAAAGAAAGCTTCTTGCCCTCCCATACCTTCACCACTTGCATGTTTGTACAAAAGCTTACAGGGTTCCTCCCCTTCATCTGGTATATCCATACAGTCCATACACACAGTGTGAGATGGGTAAGCCAGAAACTATTAAGAAAATAGTTAAACTAGAAGAAAGCCAGAAACTATTAGGGAAAGCCTAGATTATCTCAACCTCCACCTCCTTCACTTTCCTTCCCTAACTGAAGGTTTAATGTGGTGGCCAAGGATAATTTAATTTACATGGGTTTCCCTCCTGCCTCTGACAGAAAGGTGGAATGGAGCCTGAAGAGACTATGACTGCTACCAGATCCAAAATGAAGGGATAGGGCTACCTGAATACTGAACCTGAAGTTAACCTGAAGCCTGACTTTCCTGAGGGGCATTTCTACAGAATAAACCTAATTGCAGGAGTTTATCAATAGTTAGCTAAAGAGGTGACAGGGCAGGGAGCACCCAGCAAAGTCTTAATGAACAGTCCAAGATTTCTGCTCCCTCCCCTTCATGACTGTGGAAAAAAAGGGGTAAAAAATTTCTTCCTCAAAGGGTTCTCTTTCATACCATCATTTCAAAAGATCAATTGCCAATAAATTAAGACAAAACAAAAAACAATGTATGTCCTGGTGGCAAGGGAAGATGCACTCCTTCTCTGTCCCTGTCACGTCGGAAGAGCAGCTCGAGCAGAGCCCTCTGGGCCGCACTGTGCCCTCACAGCACCACCGGTGTGACGTAGTTGGCAGGGAAGAGCCCCAGTTCCCCACGCAGGCGTCCCTTCCACCAGGAGGGGTTGGAGCTGTCCAGAACCTCCAAGATGTCCCCAGTGCGGAAGCCCAGCTCATCGTGCTCCAGAGCATCGAAGTCGTACAAGGCACGGACCCACAGCGTTCGCTGGAACGGAGAGGAGAGACAGGCAGGGAACAAGGAGCCAGGACTGTGAAAGATCATCTTTGCCACCCCTCCTAAGACCCAGTAAATACATTCACTAAGCAAGGACAAGCAGTGCTGAATTTTAGACCAACTTGCAATTAAACCAGGAAGTGGCCAAGATGGCAGGAAGGAGGGACCAATTAACTGGGACACCCAAGGGATGGTGTTTGGTTTCTCAGCAGCCTCAGTGTATTTGTGGGAATTTGCACCATAAGGTGAAAAGTCAGACTGAGAGCAGGTCCTCAGGAAATTGTGTTCTCATGGCTCTGCTGCCTCTGCCCTGTAAGGGCAGCCAGGACAGCCACATCTGAAGCCAGTTTTGGGAGCACAGAAGCACTCCTGACTGAGACCTGCTGGGCTGTAACTATCAGGGAATGGCTCTAGGGAGCTGGCCTGTGCTGGTACAGATACGGAAATGTGTCTTCAGCCAGTTGATGACTGCACACAGGCAAGCACACAGGCAAGAGTAGAGAACATTGTAAAGAAGGATGAAGAAGGATATTTGTTCTTTCAGGCAATTTAGGGACATAGGGAAGGGTCTTAAACCTTCTTCAGACTCTCCCCAAGGTCAGGTCCCTGAGATCCAAAGGATTTAGTGTCTGTTTGGGTATACCAGTTTATTTGGAGTGTGCACTGTCATGTGCACTATGGTTAGACTTTTTTCTCTAGGACTTTGCAGTCAATCTCCCAGATTTCTTTGGCCAGAAATCATATTTTAAAGGACATAGCTTGGGCTTCTTTCTGGGAAATTGTTGGCATCCACACCACAGGGCATGGATAATTTAGGAGGTATATCTGGCAGGGACAGAGGGAGAGATCTGTTTGAAGGCAGACAAATTTTGATAAATCTTCCATTTGGGGCCCTGCTTAGACCTTGCCCCTAGTTAATTGGTTGGACATACACAACTTCCTATAATTGGATTTGTGGCTTCTACATCACTGATGGGATGTGGCAGGCAAAAGCATGTTGTTATTCAATGCCACAGCCTCTGAGAGATAAAAACCACTGTATTTTAAGCTGGATTACAATAAAGATTCCGGGCTTTTGCCAAGGCAAGAGGCATGCCCCTATTTTTTAATATGTTCCAAATAATCTAATCCAATCTGATCTTTTTCACTCATTCTTGAGAAAGGTCTGCTGTCCTTGCCTTCTCTCCTTGGATCTAGGTTCTCTGGTTATGGAGAGAGACATAACCAGACATTGAAGCTGGACTTTTCTTCAAGGAAGAGGAGCATCCTTAGGTCACACTGAGCTGATGGGGAAATATTTGTAGCTGGCAGTGGAGTCACAGGCTGAGGCAGAGACAGACACCACATTCTGTGTGGGCATTCACACAGTGGGACTTGGCAGAGTAGGTACTGACTGAAGGTCAAGTGCCAGGTTTGGATCCCACAGGGGAGTGGTCTGGGATGTCTGCAGAGACACAACTGCATCACACCCACATCCACTGTGCTAAGAGGCTCTGACAGCCAAGGGTTTCAGGTTGGTGAGCCCCACTTTGACAGCAAAGGAGGTCAGAGAGATGTGCCAGGCACAGACAAGTAGAGCTGGGTGATCTCAGGCCTTTTCAGGATGGCAGCAAAAATTAATGGAAGAGACAGTGTGACTACAAGTGCATTGCAAGACAGGAGGAACACTGTAGTATGGTATAGTATCATGAGGCTGCTCTCCATAGAACTTACAAAATGTACTGCACATTTAGCTACTGACATCAGTCACTGCCTGGCTGTGGTGGCAAAGATAATTGAAAGCCCTGTGCATTAATGGACATGAAGTTCTTCTAGAAGAGATCATTAGGTTTTCAGAAATTCTTCTGCTGGACTAGTCGCATGCTTGATCAAAATCCATGGGTGAGCTTGTGCCCATTCCAGTGTCCCAGATAGGGATTGTTCCTGTTTTGCTGAGCTCATGCTAAGTTCCCTCTTCCATAAAGCTGCATAAGACTGACCTGGAGAGCAGTTACCAGAACTGTGCTCACATTACACTGTAGTCCTACCCTCACAGTGTCCCAGGAGCAGGTTCAAGTGGCTGGGATAAAGTCATGAGACTCAGAAATGTCTTGTAAGACATGGCCTGGCAGGAAAGATACACTACTTCTCATGCAACCTCCATGTAGGTGACATGGTGCAGACTGCTTGGCCATTGCTAAGGGACCCAGTGACTTGGGCAGAGGAGGCCTCCCAGGTGCATCACCTACCGGTGTCTGCTGGTGCAGAGGGTCCGTGTGTCTCCTCTGCATAGCTCCTGCACTGCCTTGGCCATGATCCCTTAGTCTGTGCATCATGTCATTCCTGTCCAGACTCCCACCATATCTTTCCTGGAAAGAAAATAGCAGCAGAAAAGTCATGTTGCTGTGGTTTTGGCTGGAATAGAGTTAATTTTCTTTGTAGTAGCTGGTATAATGCTGTGGCTTGGATTCAGTATGTGAATACTGCTGATAATACACTAATGTTTCAGTTGTTGCTAAGCAGTGGCTCACTCTAAATCAAGGACTTCTCAGTATCTGGCCAAAGGGATATTCCATACTCTAGAACATCATACCCAGTATATAAACTGGGGGGAGTTGGCCAGAAGAGGCCAATAACTGATTAGGGACTGGCATCAGCCAGTGGGTGATAAGCAATTGTATTGTGCATCACTTCTTTTTCTTGAGTTTTATTCCTCTCTCTCTTTTTGTTATTTCCTTTTAAATAAACAGAAAATGATAATAACAACTATTATTATTATTACTACTACTGCTACTATTTACTCTATTTCAATTATTAATTTGTTCTTATCTCAACTCATGAGTTTTACCTTTTTCTTGATTCTTTCTCTACTCCCATCTGCAGGAGGAGAAGTGAGTGAGTGGCTGCATGGTTCCTAGTTGCCTACTGAGATTAAACCACGACACATATATATTCTGAGATGTATAAATGAGGGGATTTAAGAATCATTAGTGTGCCAAGAATCAGGACCAAGCCCGCACATCAATAATTTTAGATGTCTGCTTCCAATAAAGTCCCTGTGCTCCAGCTCTGCAAGTAATGACCCTCATGGAAGAGGTCAGCTTAGACTGCTCTATTTTGGATTTTACTTTTTAGGAATTGAAAGCTGACTCTCAGCTGTGTTTCACAGCTGCTGGGACAAATGGTCAGAGAGGGGCTTTTTTGGTCTCTGAGACTTTTGGAGAAAAAACTAAGGTTGTTCTAACTCACAGATAAAAACCATGCTTGCCAAGGTGACTTCAGCCAATCTGGAGTTATTATGACCCAGTCCTGCCCACTCCTTGCTCTTCCTCTGTCCCATGTGCTGGGGGAACATCAATTGTGCTGGTGCAGCTGACTGTATCTGAGGACTCACTACTTTACTTTTTCTTGGGCTGCTCCATAGTGTAAAGGACAGCAAGCAGGCCTATAAATCTAGTAGCCAAATTAGCCAAAGAAGAATGAGACAAAATCAAATTCAAAGAAAAGTAGCCATATGACCACACATCTAAGTCATACCAACACAAATTGGCTGAGGCAGATGAAGAGAAGAAGTAGGAAACATCTAGGAAACAAGTTCTCTTTTGTGTGCACAGCTGAAAGACACAGATTTTTGACAAAATGACTGCTCACTCACTACCAAGCAATAAAAATATGCCTGGGCTTGATGTCCCAGCCCCTTGTTCCTGGCAGTACCTGTTGCTGCTGCAGTGTGGGAACAGGATGGTCTACATATCTCTTGGATACAGAAGAATGATCTTCTCCAGCTGCTCCTCCCACGTGGAATCCTTCCCGACCTATCCATTCCAGGCTCCCACCACACCTCTCCTGATGGAAGAAAGATCACACAAGTGAGGTCACCTCCTACCACATCCTTGACTAAAGCTGTGCAATTACTGCACACTGAGCACTACCACTACTACCCACTACTCTGGAGGCTCTTTCAAATAAAAGACCCCGCCTCTCTGAACAGAAGAACAAATCAGGAATCCTGTATTTTAGATCTTTGTAGCCACTCTCCATCTGAAATCAGTGTAGTACTGGGAGGTGCTGGGCTGAAAATATGGCTACTGATGTGAGGATGAGCGCAGGAGCCAAGCTCTTTCTTGAAATACTGCCCTTAGAATCCGTTTGTCTCTGAACTGAAATTTATATATTACAATCATTTCATCATATGGCTGTAGCATCTAAAAATTTGAATTGTGAACAGAAACCCCACTGTGATGGGTGCTAAACATACTCTGCTGTGCCCATCACCATAATAAATGTACAGAGAGTTTGCCAAAGCAAACTTGAGTTCTGTTCTTTCATTTGCCTGTCTGCATCTTGGAGCAAATGCATCTCTTTCCTTTCCTGCTCACAGTCAGCCCAAACAGGTTGTTATACTGATATACATGCATACAGTCTTTCTTTCCTTCCCCAGACACAGAGATTCATTGCTGTGATCTCTCTCTTACAGATCCCAGAGCCTCTATTTTAATACCTTACTGGTGCATTTTTAAAGCTCTGTATAAGTGGTCTAGAAAGAGACAACAACCCAGGCCCATTCTTCAGACTGAGAATGTATCTCTCATTTTGAGCCAGCAAGAGTGACCCACACACAGCCTATAAAGCTTTACTGCTGTAGTCAGCAGGTCACATACTTTCTGACTTGTCTCTACTTACTTGTGCATCCTGGTAATTTAATACCAGAATCCGTTTCCCAGTAAAGCAGGACTTGGGTTGCTGCAGTGACCAGGCATGTTCACTCCCAGTACAGGGAGTGCAAGGTGTAGCAGCCTCTGCTATGTCATTTGCTTGTTCCCCTGGCACAAAACCAGGCATTCATTGGACTGGGATTTGTCTGCGTTCTCAAACATTGACTATACCTTCCCTGAAGGCACATCTTGTTCCCAGATCTCCTATGTTCTTCTCGGTAGTACCTTCCAGTTCCTAACAGCCAGGTTAACTGCTCCAGGTTCTGCCCTCTGTTCCCCAAATTCCTTTTACTGTGTTTGCTCAGTAGCAGGAGATGGACAATTCTTCTGAGCAGACAAACTTGCACGTGTAGTTGCACTCTGGGTGTGTGCAAGGACCCTAAGAAACTAGACTCAAATTCTTCTCAGTCACAATCCACCAGCCAGCTCTGTAGCTGCCCTTAGGAAATCTAGGCATTTCAGTAAGGTAAATCCTGCTTCCCTTGGCATCTCAGAACTTCAGTTCTGAGCTCTTAGCAAAGCTTTAGCAAAGCACCTTTATTCAGATTTGAAGAATCAAAAAATTCTGCTCAATTTACAACTCTTCATACCACTGAATCCACTAAGAATCTGTGTCTCAGGCCCCACCAGTGTAGTTATGTGGCTGGATTTCCAGGAACACGCAGTCCTTCTCCTCACCATGAGACATTCTCATGGGATGAACTCCTTCCACAGAAAGATTTCTGACTGAGAAATTCCTAAGGACAGTTTGTGTTTACCTTTTCTTCTTGGCTGTTGTCCCTTAGGAAGATCTGCTTCTGCCTGGAGATGGAAGTTGTCTTGTAGTAGTCCACCAGCTTGTTTAGTGAGTGGAATTTCTCTGTCCACAAGTAATAGCTACCCTTGGAATCCCTCATCACTTTGAAGTGTTGCACATCATCTTCATGCCTGGATCCCAATGGAAAAGAGATCATCAACAGATTGCACTTTTACCTTTTTTTAAAAAGTCTTTTCCAGAAGGGTACCAAGACTTCTTGCTTGGCCAAATCAGGACTTCTGGAAAGTCATGCAATGGCAGTCCTTGTGCCTACTGGACCCAGATGTGGCTCTGTTTCAAAAAGACTTGTCAATCTGCAAACACACAGTGCCCCAGGGCTGCCCAGTCACAAAGCACTATCAAAACAAAGCACAGGGTTTTAAACCTTCTCTTTTGAAATAAAGGTCACAGGAGCTTCCAGGGTGAAAAAGTGCAGTTGTAGTCTACCTAACAGCCTCTGCAGGTCCTGTTAACATCCAGTCTGCATTGACTACAAGACCTGTATTACACCTTTACACACCATGGGGACCACCACTATATGCAGACAAAGTCATGTGAAGCCATACACTAAACTTTTAAGATGGTATAAAATCTCATGTACCATCATTACTACAGGTCATTCTCCCTATCCAAAAAGAAAAAAAAGGAGTTTTCTGATGCTGTTACAAGCCAAATTAACAATCTGAACCTTCTGCCTTATTCCCCCCGCACCTCCCCACCTCTCACCTCTTGTCTGATGTGTACAATTCCTCTTTGCACCAGATGTGATCTAGCTTTGGTACCCACCTCCTTGCTCTGTGCAACTCCAGGCATGAAAAACACTCTTCTCAGAGGCTACATCTGCACAAATAAACTAGATGGGGACAGGCAGGGACTGAATGCTATCCTTGACTGCTACAGCCCCCAAGCAGTTGAAGTGTTAGCATGGTTGTGGTTTAAATGGAAAAGCTCTCCCTTAGATAGTGCTGGGCCATGGTTAGAAAGAACAGGCCAGGAACTGTTCACAGGGAGCTGCTTGAATATAGCTCTTCTGTTTGGTGGGGTGAAGAGGGTGTAGCCATACAGATCTGACCTCTGCCTCACTGCTTGACTTTAGGGCCAGAGAAAGAGCCTGACTGTACTTGATTTGCTGGTGTTAATTAGTGCAAATGTAACCAGAATGTTTTCCTGCATTCCTCCTGGATACTTTTTGAGCTGCCTGAATCAGCAAGTACATACTACTTGGAAAAGACTAATCATGACTCTAATTTAAAACTGGTTATCAACTATTTGACTGAAAATTGGGAAACCAAACATCATTGAAAGGCTCTGTTTAGAAGAAAATGCACTGAGAAGTGCTGGGCTACAGCAAGCTGCTGAAATGCAGCTGGGCTGCAAGCAATGAAAAACCAGTCCTTGTCCAATGGCTGTTTAGTGACCTGTGGGAAAAAAGTTAACAATGTAATAGTAATCCCTTCATAGGTAGTAGCTGAATTCTTGGATTTGGTAACCAGAGCTGTCAGGGAATTAAAACAAATGGAAGACACATGTTAAGCACAGTGGGAGACTTTTCCTGTACCATTCTGCTCTGCTGTAGCTCTTTCAGAGAAGGAGGTCACCAGGGGATGCAGCTTTGGAATGGGGCATTCACTGTGTCACTTGAAAAGAGGCAGAAACGTTTGGGAATCAGATGCCTAATTTGTTCTCATTCACAACACAGCAGCACTACCAGTGACTGGCAGCCTGCAAACTTCTCAAGAGCCTACATCACATTAGGAATTCTTATGAGAGGAGGCTAGGGACACCATTAAACAGGAAAAGAAGCAGGAATATGCTGCTAGAAGCAGATACCTGACAGAGATGGAGAAGTCACCATGAGAGTTCTGACTGGCTCGGACGATGAAGCAGCCGACTCCTTTGCTCATGAGGAGGTTCTCTGCTTCATGGCGGGATATCTTCTCATCAAACCAGCTGTCAAGTGGGAAAAATCATGGAGATGTGAATAAGGATGGGAATTAAGGTGAGGAATAAAAAAGTTGAGGGTAGGGAGAACGTGAATAAGCAGGGTGGAGGGAAGAAAACAAAAGGATCAGAGGAGCACACATGGCTACTCCCAGTGGCCACGTATATGCTGAGGTACAGGGGTTTGATGGATGCAGATAATTTTCTTTGAGTAGTAAAAGCATGTACATGCAAAGAGAACAATGTAAGCTTTGGTCTGCTAAGAAGCAACACTCAGCTGAAACGGTAATTACAGACACAGTACAATAAGGTGTTAGTCAAAGAAATTTTAAATGAAAAATGTGTATGTATACATATATACACACATAACTCTCAGACATATACATCAAATTGTTTTTTGGCAAACTGATTGAAAATTACTGGGCTGTGATGGATATATTGCATGGAACGCACATAAATTTTTAGTAGAAGCAAGCCATGAAAGTTTTACTACTAATAAATTGGTTCCTGCAAGAGTTGCAATATCACAAAATCACAGAAGTGCAGAATACATAAGCACACTTACACAAATCTAGCCAGGCATACCAAACAACAGCATAGGGCACTGGACTAATAATGAGAAAGTCACCATAAATAGTAAAAGAATATGATGTCAGTAGGAATTTTTCTGTAGAGAAACACAAAATCATATACATTTGCGTATGTCCACTCCATAGCTAATAAATCTACAATCTGCAGTCTTTGACTTCACCTAATACATAATTGCCTGTATTGCATTAAAATGAAGGACTGTTAAGTTCCTAACATCTCTCATTTCTGCTTTAGAGTTCCTTATTATCATCACAGTTTACCTATGTATCATTAGCAAAGAAAAATCAGATGAGCCTTGATAAACAATCTCAATGGTTACTTAATCAGAAAAAAGATGGGCAAAAACCATCCATCAAAAATAGGAGGCAACTTTCTTCCCTACGTCTAGTTCTGTCATCTGGGCTGAACTGCTTCAAACTGCAGACCTGGCACTTAGAAAAGTGTCAAAGTGGAAATATTTCTTCACAGCTCTTGCACAGAGAAAGCAACACAAGAAAAATGTGTGTGAAAAAAGAAGCTGCCAGTGCTCCTGAGTGATGGCACAGCCCTGTGAAAGAGTGAACAAGAACAACTGACTGGAAGATCTCATCCCCCTGAGGCCCAAAAGTACAAGCCCTTATTTGCACAGCAAACGAATAATGTCCTTCAGCTCAGCCAAGCAGGTTGGCTTATGTCCAAAAAGGCCACTAAGTGCCACCTCCAAAGGGGACAGAGGCACTTATTTGTAACCTCAAAATCCCTGTGTGCTCCCAGTCTGACTGCTCAGGGCAGCAGTGCGTTACAGCCACAAGCATTGGGCTTGGTGCATGCTCTGCTTGTTCACCCCTGAAATGCTGCAGCACTTGTGAAAAAAGAGGACAATGAGAGGTGCTTCTGGGAGCTTTTCTGCTAACTGAAAGGTTGTAAAAATCCCATGCACTGTCATATTTATGGCATAGGGCTGGAGAGCACATTTAACATGCATTCCAACACGCATCAGTCCTCTCTGGAAGTGCAGCTCCATCTCCTCAGCGGGAAGAGAGAAATGCAGGTACGTCTGTCCCCTGACAGATCTGTTGGTGTGTGTGAGAGAGAGCAGGGCGGCATGGCTGGTCTGTCAGCTCTGCCGAGCCAGAGTACCACCAGCTGTCACAGCATTGCACTGACCTCTAGTGCACCGACAGAAACTCACAGGCACTTCGGGGGCAGGGAATGCGGCGGCAGGGTGGGAAAAGGGAGTCAGTGTCCTTTAGAGCCGAAGGGGAGCAAATTTTTTTATGATTCGTTTTCAGAAAGATCTCTTGCTCTTCCTTTTATGCTTAGCCTCTGTCTCTGCTCCCAAGACTTCACATCATGACTATTCTCCTTCTCTCTGAGGACCTCTAAATGCAATTCCTGCCACATCCCAGTGTCCCTGTGCGCAGCAGCAACAAAGGAGTCACTTGGGACCGACAGCGATCATCAGATCCATTTAGCTCCGAAAGCAGAGGATGCTTTGGGGTAGAAATACTCTGTGCTGGCAGAACCGTGTGTAGCACTACAGCAATCCCTGCCAGCCCCAAAGTGCAGGATGTTAGGCCCAGCATTTCCCCTGTCCTTTCCTCTCTGCTCTCAGTGGAAATGTGCCATGGTGGTGACACCATTTCTGTCACACTTACGGAGGAACATGGAAATCAATGAAGTTCTTAGGAACGTAGCCCTCGTGACTTCTGAGCTCAGCCTTATACCACTCTTCCTGGGAGCTCAAAATCTGCAACGGAGAAATGGATGGAATAAATGCATCTCCTGAGACAGGCAAAAGTAACCAAGATTCAGGAAGAAACCTAGAATGTCTTGTAAGAATAAAATAAAATTGTACGTGTTCTCTGCTCCCCACCCATGGTGCAACAAGGTTAGTGGCTGATGACCACTTCAGAGCAAGCAAGCAATAAAAAAGCCTAAGTAGAATTAGAGAGATGGCTTGTTTAACTTTACCCCTTTGTCTGACTGCCTGTCTCGGTATCTCTGATGCCTGTGAAATGAAGAAAATTCAGCTTTGAAAGACTTAGTAGGGGTTTAATTTATTCTCTGCGCTGCCTTTTGTAGCTGGTACTGTAGCATCTCAGATTCACAAGGGAAGAAGAAAATATCTTTGAAAACTCCTCTGACATATGGGTATGGAGAGATATGCAGCTGTGTCTATGTGTGTTATGGCTGCACAGATGTTACCATGTGCTCTCACCTGTCATTTCACAAGAGATTCTTTAGTGGGTTAAGCCTTCAGCTGCTCTGAGCTTTGCCAAGGTAAATATAAGAAGGAGGCAAAAAGTGTTTTCAAGACACCATTATACTTAGGACATTGTAAGATAGCTAGGATAGCTGGAAGTGAGTCCACATCACACACTGGAGCAGCTTCAAGTGTGCTCATATTAATGTTAACTGTAATGGTCTTTAGAAGCATCACTGCTGATCAGGGAGGGCCCAAATTCATGACACCCGGGCTTATGGCCCAAGATACAGCCCTAAGCTAGAGGAGAGAGGACAGGAATACAACCACAGTGGGATTTTACTGCAGATGTTGTGGTCTTTGGTGTTTGACATTCCAGCTCCTGGGACAGGATTCTGCTGTACGAAATAGACCATGTTCCTGCTCTTTCTGGTTTTGGAGAGGAGCCTAAAAGCATGAGCCATGATAGTTTTAAAAGGAAAAAGCCAGTGGAAATGATTTAATTTAAAATCTATTGTTAACAGTAATAATACTTACTTTGTGAGCCACTCTCATGGTTTTGGGAGCCTAAGGCACATTTTAACTGCTTTGTATTGGCAACAGGATGTTACTGTCTCTGGAGCCAATTCTTCATTGCCTTCCCTGCCACATAGGCCTTTTCAAACATTTGGATTCAGAAAAGTTGAGGATTAGAAAGCTGTGGAATTTCCTACTTGTACAGTCGCTGCTGTCTTCATGCCTGGGTGCTGGGTTGAGGATCTTTTTTCACTGCTGTGGCCAAACATAGGGGATGATGGCTACCTCCTGCTCATGCCTGGGCCCTGCTCTGTTGGAAGTGAGGTTTCCAGAATGACCCACCAGCTGTTTGCCACTGCAGAGCTGGCAGGTTTCTCTCAGTGTGTCATCCTCTCAGAGAAGGATGTGGGGGGGGGGGGGGGGGTAAGAGGGTGGATTTCCTCCTGTCACTACTGGTTGAGGGCCTCATGTTTCCTGTTTTGTAATCTCTACATCAATATTTCACCTTATCTCCTTCATATATCAGCAGGTTGTAGCAGGCAGCACAAGGGGGCTCATGATGGGGTACGAATGTGTGTGTGCCTATGCCAGAACAGAGTTGTTACTCAGGCTGATTTACTGCTACTACAGCTTGGGTGGCTAAGGTGCTGTTTTGTTTACCTCAAGGACATTGAAGCAAGAAGGAGTTTGATTTTTCTGGTAGTGAATTCTCTATGGCAACCAATAATAATAAAACTGGTGTGTAGTGTGACACTTTTTATCAGAGGATTCCAGCATTCTTTGAAAAGAAGCTCTAGCTTATAATGATTTACAGGAAAGGGAACTGAGGAACAGAAGGAAAAGTGACCTGGCCAACACCATCACCCCAGCCAGGGACTTGATGGAAGTTTCCTGAGAAAAAAGGCATCAGTAAAGGTCATGTGATAGAAGGGACTGACTGGGGAAGAATAAGAGTGGTTATCTGTGCTGAAGAGAGGCGGTGATTTCTCCAGAACCTTCTTGTAGCTCTTTGGAAAGATTTGGTACTAATGAGCTCTGGATGCTATCAACTTTGTCTAAGTGCCAAGTATTAAAAGGCCAATGAAATAAAAAAGGGTGGTAATGGAAAAGGCAAGGCTGAGACTCAATATCTGATTATTAGCTGGAATATCTGTGACTGCACAGAGGGGTAGCAAAGGCTCCTCGCCAAACAGGGCTGTATATCCTGTGGCTGTACATCATCCCTTTGGACAGTAAAGGAGCTAAGGCCATAGGGAGGAGTAATACTCAGGCATTTTCAATGGAAACAGAACATCTAGGGCTGAGAAGTGGATAAATAATTAGGGTGAAACTTCAAGTGACTTCATCTGTGGGACTTTGGTAACGTTAACAAGAACTGTTCTATCATAACACATACAAATCAACTTTAAAGAGACTTCCAGAAGCTCTGTATTGTAGATGACCAACTCTATTCTGCCATTACCCCATTGTGAAATTCCTGCAAGGGTGTATATAATGTTATTAGACCAGGACCTCTTAAACTATTCCACTATGTGTGTAACAGTCTGTCTCGTGGAATTTTCCTCTTCTATTTGCAATTGCCTAAGATCCCTGGAGCATCTAACAATAATTACTAACAGTGAAAAGTTAGATATAAATTCTAGAATGGATGAGAGTTTCTTTTAAACAGTTCAACAACTGGAAATAAGGAAGACAGCAATCCCTCTGGACAGCACTGATCCCACCTGTGTTTAGACATAGTCAGCATAATGTAGTCACTGTGGATGGTTTACCTGGTTAATGAAAACAGACAGGACCCTCAAAATCTGCCACCAAAGATCTTGGTCTGTGCCTCAGCAAAGGTACATACCCTTCCCTGCTGACTACCAGAGGACTGCAGGGCAACTAAATCCATAGTTCATGGACATAAAATCAAGAAAAGTGGACACAGACTCAAGTAACCTGGGAATTGTTGTCCTATTGCAAACCCTATGGGAGAGGAGTATCCTGCATTTGTATCCTAGTTTATAGATGTGTCTACATCTCTTTGGTCAAGGCAAAGGGAAGCACAAGAAAGATCTGGAAGCAGTCTCAGAAAAGCTGTTTAGTCAAGCTGGAGACTGTACTTACCTTCAACATATCCCCAGCCTGGAAGCTCAACTCGTCTTCTCCAGAAGCAGTGAAATCAAACTTCGCAATGGCTTCCATACTGTGTCTTGGGGGCAGAGCAAAGCTGGAAGAGGTAATGTCAGATACTTGTCAGCACCTATGAGCTACTGGGATTGTGGAGTCCAGCCTCTGGAAAGCTGACAGGCAGTGCTGGGATTCGTATGTGGAGAAGCACTCACCACCTATGGGCAGCCATTAGTTACTAGACATGGAAAGATATTAGCAGGTAGAAGAGAGGGCATGGGTGAGTTGTAATTAGCTGAAGTCAGAAGTACAAATAACCAATAGTGGATGCTTACTCCAACAGATCTCTTTCTCTAGAGCAATCTCATGGGAAAAACGTGCATAGACCAACTCTGTCACAGTGCCCAAGAAAGCAAGCGACTCTGTCCTGCAATAGAAAAATGCATTTGTCCCCTGCAGTGACTCACTCTTTGCCTCAAGAGTGAGTCAAATTGCTGACAAAACAAACGAGGCTGCAATAAATATATATTTTTTTCTTGGACACGGGCCACAATATGGAAGGTTGAAAGAGTCTCTTTTTTGTGATGGCTTAACAGGGGTGACCACAACTTTCAGGTAGGAAAATACTGTTTGCAGAAAGGCTGCATTCCCTATTTTGAAGCTGGCAGAGAGTTAGCCTATCTCAGTGTTGGTAACCCAAGAGCCCAAAATATATCAGACAGCCTGCAAACCACAGCCTGCTTTTCAGCACCAGAGCAATGTGGCAGGGGAAGTGGCAAGATGGGCTTTGCTCCTTCACCACTTCCTGCTCACGTAACTCGGATGTACCCCAGCAGGACCATTTTTATAATCAAGAGTTACCAATTTCCCATGGCTGGGTCATGTACCCCACAGCCCAGTGGCGAGGCTGCCAGTGACAAGCCAAGAAATAGCCAGGCACTACCACCTTAAGCAAGTGCACTGCTGGCAGATGCACTTGCAGCACAGCTTCTGAAGACCATCAGACAGCTGCAATATAGAAATAGTTTTTACAATTTTTAAGCTAGATTTGTCTGGGAACAAAGATCCTGAAGCCACAGGTTCCACTACCTAATCTCAATTCTCACAAAAACACCCAGTATTCATGTCTTGAGATGAAGTGCCAGCTTGCCTGATCCAAAACATTCTTAACCAGAAAGCTCTAAAAAGACACTGTACAAACAAATGAACAACCCTTATTAGGGTAAGATATTTCTTATTGATTAGAACTGACACAAGATCCCCAAAATATAAAGTGTTGATATTGAGCAAGCTCCAGAATTTTGCCACTTCAAAATCAAAAGGCTGCTGTAGCCCTCCTTCTCGGCAATACATGCTGTAATGCTCCTGCTCTGACACACGGCCCAGGGATTTAACTATCTGTGTAACCAGGATCCAGGGCCCAGCTCTGATACAGCTCAACTTAAACTGCTGAGAATGAGCTGGAGAAAGCCTGCAGGGCAAAAGCTCTAGGACTGCACCAGCATTAGCCCAGGGATTCCAGAGGAAAACCACCAACATGGGAAGATATAAAATCTCAGAGGAAAAACAAAACCACAGTTTAGTTGTGATAGTCAGTCTAGCTGAGTACCTGTCATGAATCATTTGGGTCACTGAGTTGAGTTGTCAGTGCCATCAGTCCTGACCTAGCTGGTGGCAGATGGCAACCATGGAGGGTGACTCCATTTCTGATTGATACCTGCAAAGAATCTTTGGGTGCCTTTACACAGGTGAGGAGTATGCTAATGTGTAGCCTAATATTTAATTAAATCCTAACTAGGTTCTGTGTGTGTTAACTGTATACAGCAGTTATTTATTGACTAAATTGTCTATTTCCTGCTTGCAGAGTCCCTTTGCACTTGCTAAAGATTCCTGAATGAAGTGATTCACAAGAGGGGCTATAACATCACTGTATATTAGTTCTGATATTTGTTACAATCACTTCTAACTAAGGAAAAAAACCCTATTTATATGCTTCCTAGTGGACTCTGTTAGCACTCTCTTTTTTGCTGCTTATAGGTGAATTTATATCCATGTGACTGATGAGAGCTATGAAGCACTAAGGCAAATTTTTTGGCAGTCCACAGAGAGCTCTGCTTATTCAGCATGGATCTGTTCTAGAGCAATTGGGGCTGCTTCAGTGCCAGGGCCTCCCAGGTAGGTCTGGGTACACAGCTCAGCTGAGATCTGCCCTGTGCCTGCTACTCTAACCTGCTGCCTTGGGCTTCCAACACACAGCAGTGCTGAGCCCTGACACCCCAAGGCACATTGGTGCTTTATTCTCAGGCTTCAGCTTTCCCCCTATTCCAAACATTTTCATCTCCTATTCTCCCTGTTGACCTACTAATGGTCTTTAATTCTTACTTCTGATACCTTTTTCAGATTAGGGTCCCCCTCTGTCTTACTCTTATTCCAAGATATTGGTGTTACCCTGCAGGTGCAGCTGAGGCCTGATCTGAGAACTGTCCTCTATTCTTGCATATATGTTTTTGGAGCTTCAGTCTGTCACCCTCCACAGGCAGTGTCAGTCCCATTGTGTGCTAACAGAGCACAGGAGGGGAATTAAAACTTGGAGGGGAATTAACCCTTAAGGGAACTGGTTAAACAATTATACTCTTTCATGGAAGACAATCGAAGAAAAATACTAAAAGAGAATTACTTTAGTAAGGGTTGTTTTTTGGTGTTTTATCTTGCAGTGGTGGCCTGCTGCAGAGAGATCAGAGCCAACAGTGCAGGTGGATCCTGGAACTCCTAAATGCAGACCATTAATCCCAGCTTGAGGAAAAGAACACACTTAAAAACAATTTAAATGCAAACTATTTGAATACAAATCCTATCTTTGATTATATCTCTTAAATACAGAAGAAGTAGTGGGGGTTCCCTCTACAGGGGCAAGAGAGTAGGAAAACTTTAATTTTTTCAATAACCCAAATGTTAAAGGTGCTATTGGAATGTGGCCCCCTCCGAAGGAGAAGAGTTTGTGAAACAGTTAAAATCCTCCCTCTCACTTCCTTTCTAATTTCAGCAATCCCAGCCTCAGGGAGAGACCAGGAGAGAGATACCTCTTCAAACAATCTAACACATGGATTAAATATGCCTTTCATTGCCAGCGGCTGGATTTAGAAGTGGCTCAAACAGCATCCACAGTGTTGGCTGTGTAGATAAATCAGCAATGCAGTAATGCTCTGGCCTTAAGCTCTTCCCCCAACAGCTACTAAAGCAACACTAGCCAATAATCGTGTCTTTGAACTCCAGCCTACCACTTTTCAGCACCTGAACTTCAAACCAGTTCTGTTTTTCTGATCCTGTTCCTCCCTCCATGTGTAACTTGAGAATCCCCATTCCACATGGGTCAGTGCTGGGCCCTCATGAGAACTCCCCTGCCTGGAGCCCATTCTTTCCCTCTCTGCATGCCTGTGACTCCCAGCACCACCCCACAACAGAGACAGGAAATTTTTCACTGTTATCATAACTTCCATTTCTCACGCACCTTTTATCCCAAATTCTGCTTTTAACCGCGTGGTGCAACTCCTTTACCCTTTTGATCGCCAAGGACAATTTTAGACTGTGCATAATGTTCTCTGTGAAAATCACCTTTGTAGAGAGTTTAGCATGAAAGATATGCAATGTTCAAAGAGGGATTTTTCAGTTCCAACCGTGAGCTGACCAGCGCCCTTCATTTTGTGCTGGCTTTCTACACGCAGGTGAATTTTCTCTGTGGTTCACCTTTGTAATAGGGTGGATTCAAGAGGCATAAGGCTACAGCAGTTCTGTGGGGCTGGTGCAACAGAAAGTTCACAAAATGAAAAGTGAAGAGCAGCATGGCTTTCAGAGCACAAGGTAGGCATTTTTGTTGGGCGGAATGCCATTCCCTGAGCAAGAACATCAGTGTCTCTGTTGATGGAAAGTGCCAAGGCCTAAAACATGTCAGTAAGCAATACAGCCTGACAGCAGAATCCCAGAGAGTTTAACACCGTTACCCTACACCATGTTAGTTCCAAATTCAGCAGTGAAAGTGCCAGGGAAGGTCACCACCTATGAAGAGTTCGTCACTCAGGGACTGCCCAGCCTCAGCCTTTCCTAATTTCACCTACTTACATCAGAAGGAGAGCAAAATTACAACAATGCACTCACTTAATGAAACCATATACAAAAAGTTTCTACATGTATGCCTGTAGCATAAAAAATTGCACACATCTCCATTCTGAAGCGTCACCCAGTGAGGTTTTGCACCAAGATATAAGCACGAGCTGCCGTGTCTTTGTTCGGCTCTGCAAGAACAACCTGCTGGACTGATGAGCAACCGGGAACAGGATTCAACCCTGAGCATCTGCACAGGAACTCCAGATGACATTTCAGTAGAAACAATGGAGAAGGGACCTGTAATCTAAGAGAGCTGTTGCAGATAACAGCTTTGTTTTCACCAGCTAAGCCACATACAAGTGGCATGGGAATATTTAGCTCCAAAAACACAAACCCTTTGCTACTGAGCTAACGTTGCAGCTTCGCTGACTGTCAGTGATAAGAGGGTAAAATTTATAAGGGAGAACAAGTCACTAAAACACTCAGAAATGATGCATTTAAGTCTTTGCTATTCTGCCACGCACAGCAATGCATAGCATTTTGGCTGAGCCTATGTGCAAACAAAATAAGCCTCCTAGGAACCCGATTCACAGAACAAACAAACTTTCAGGACTCTATAACCAACAGCAAGTTGGTAAGAAATGCCCCAAAATAGGATGGGGCTTAATTTCCCTAGGGAACCCAGGTCTTCTGTGCTCCTTCCCATCACGTCAGAGTAGAGTTGTGCAGCAACATGGGAAGCAACTCCAACAACGGGCTCAAAGAGAGGAGCACCTGATACAGTACCAGGTATGATATCACAGCATGAAACTGCGACAGTATAAAATCCCAAATCTTTGCTGTGCTGGAAGGATTGGTGTGGGGGGACTGGGGTGGTGGGGAAACACCTCCTTCTGTTCGCCTACCTCCTCCCTCACATCCCAGCTGGTCAGATGTGGCAGGAGCAGAGGGATTTGTCCTGCAAAAGAAAGCTGATAAACAAGATGGCCTTGGGATCTCCCGCTCTGCCCCTACTGCGCAGTCCTTCACCTTTCCTTCCCAAGCCACCCTTGCTCCCTTTACCTGGTCCCAGGTGCTCCCCTCGGTCCCAGAGCCGTGGCCAGCCCGTCCCTCGCTGCGCTCCCTTCCCTGGCTCCGAGCAGCGGCTGCGGGGCCACCGAGGCCCGGCCCCGAGCCAGAGCCCCGGCCCCTCCCTCAGCGCCCGTGTCGCACTCCGGCAACGGGCCACGTGCCAGGGGACAGCGACAGCCCGGGGTGGGCATGGGGACACAGGACACAGCCGTGCCTGGCACGGCACAGAGCGGGCATGGGCAGTGTCCAGTCCCTCATGGCAGAAATATTTGGTACCCCGCATATCTCAAATGGTGGTGCCGGTTCAAAAGGAGCTGCCCCTGGCTGCTGCTTCAGCCCAGGGTGGTTTAACAGATGAAGAAAGGAGGGTCCCTCAAAAAGTGCAAGTTCTACCCAAATAAGGAAACAGAAATGAGCACAGATCTGCTAAGTTAACTGAGAAACCGTAAGTCTGTTGAAAAGCATATCTTGAGGAACAAGTAGCTAAAGACATAAAAACATGCAATAAAATAATTTTCAAAGACAACAGAAACAGGAAGCCTGCCAGAGTGTGTCTGTAGGGCTGACAGATGATTGAAATGTAAAAAGAATGCGCAAAGAAGATAAGGATGAAGCACAAAAGCGAAATGAATTCTCTGCATCCATGCATCTCCCATAGGGATATAAGAAGGTTCCCACACTGGAGTTTTCTTTGCAGAGGAAAGCCAGGAGAACTATTTCAGGATGAAGAACTGGAATAAAAGGTTTCAGGAAAAAACAGTAAATGAACAAGGGTAAATTCACGGATTTGATATTTTATCAACCTTGACTGAAATCCAAACTGAACATGAAATAGTGAAAGTTGAGCAATTAAACGGTGGCTTACAATGCTAGACTTAACTAAGCCTCAGTACTAGGAAAAAGCAGCAAACGCAATGCCAGTGTTTGAGATGTGTTTTGAGGGGATGCAAGGTGCTGGTGTGACTTCTGTGTGCCTGAAACCGATTAAAAGATTAATGATGAAATGAATTACTGGTCCTACGAGAGAAATAACATACCAATTCCTCCTCACACAGATTTTGTAGAAGGAAGTCATATGGCACAAATCTGAGTTCTCTGAAAGAGCTGATAAAAATGTGGATATAGGTGATCACTTGATATAAAATTTGCATTTCTACATCATTTTTAATGAAGTCTTTCATCAAAGAGTCTTTAAAAAGCCCCCTAAGTTCTCAAAAAATAGGAGGGAAGGTCCTATAGATGATTAACAACTGATTAAAAGTTATGAAACAATTTGAATGTACTGTTCAAAATATTAATAAATGATCTGGAAAACATGAAGTGACAAAACTTACTGATGAGAAAATATCCAGGGTAATACAAATTAAATCTGATCACAAAGCCTTGCAGATGGTTTTAAAAATACTGTTGAAGCGCAAGATGAATCTCAGTGCTGATGGCTGCAAAAGCAATGCACGCGGGACAAAACAAACATAACTACATGAACACAGGAATGAGCTTAAATTAGCAATTACCACTGGGAAAAGACACCTTTAAGATGCTCTTTGAGTCCTACCAAAGGGTCAGCTGAGTGGAAGTCAAAAAGGCAGGTTAGGAAGCATCTAGAAAGTGACCAAAACAAACCAGAAGACAACATGATGTCACTGTACAAATCCCTGTGGCACCCGCTTGAATATTTGTCACTTGAATACAGCAGCTGCTTCTCATCCCTCCATCTCAAACAGAGACAGTAGCATCAGAAATAGCAGATAGAAATCAACTAAAGATGACCAAGGGAATGGGAAGTTTCTGAACAAGGAAGGGCCAAATCAAAGACTGGGATCTTTCACCCTTAAAAAAAGTTGTCATAGAGATAAATGCAAAACAACGTTGGAAATAATGACAGTCATGAAAAAGGTAAACAGGAAGTTTTATCCATCATTTCTCATATGCTAAGCACTAGGACTTCATTTCAAAAGTGTCAGAATCTGGGAGGCCATAGGGGAAGAAGCTGTGACATGTACTTGTCCAGTTCTCACTCTCCTTCCCCAAGCAGCGGTTGCTGGGTGCAGCAGCATCATGGATTGTGACTTTAACCTGACCCAATTAATCCTTAGAAGATGTGGCCCTTCACCAAAAACCACCACAATGGTGGTGGTTCCTCTAGTCCAAGAGGAAGGGTCCAGCAGCTGGCTGGCAGGTGGTAGTCCCTGCCCCACACCACCTTCTGGGGAGGTAGTAATCTCACTGGAATATCTGTGAGTTAAAACAGGGGTAGTGTGAACATTATGAAGCACTCTGACAAGTCAGGGGTAGACACAATGAAAACTCCCTCTGTATGGGATAATCTTGAATATATTTGCTGAAAAAATGTACAGGTTCATCAGGCAGGGGGCTAAAGGAAGAGTACAGGAGTGAACTCTTGCCATGTTGTGAAACGTTTTCTGTGTGGCTATCAGTACGTGAGAAATATAAATTTCTGTACAGGAAGGTGGGACACCAGTCCTTATGGTCTTCTTAGGTTTAAGCTCTGTGCTTTTTCATGGTCTGTGAATGGCATGACAGATTGCATTACATTACACACTGGAACGACCTAATTTCTCTATTCTCTACCATGATGTGATCTAATGGGCCCCCCAGCAAGAACGCTGCTGGTGACTTGTCACTCATGCTTGCTGCCTGACAATGTCACAAAACACTGGATTCCTGTTATGTATCCAGAACTATTGCATTATAATATTAAATCTATTAAATGTCAAGGCATAAGAGATGTGGCTTTCTATACTATAAACAAAACACTCAATACTGGCAAGCTTCCAACACTGAGAAAGGATAGGAAATAGGATAGAATGGGAAATAACTCTCTTTTCTTTCTTCTCCATTTCTATATATTCCTCCTCTGTCACAGTTACGGTAACACATTAACCTCTTCACCTTGCAGAATACATCCATCACAGCTATGCTGAGAAATATGAAGAAATATCCAGATACTTCAGCCATAAGTAATGGAAACAAACCTAATGGGAAGGACATCAGACTCCATACAGCCGTGTTTTAGCCAATCTTTATTAGAAAACTGGGTTAAACCCAGCCCAGGCAGACAGGTTATTCCACAGCTACTTGCTGCAGACTTCTTTGTCATTATCTGCTACTGACACAATCCGGACAGGACGGTCAAACCATAGCTATTATACACTCTGAGAAGACCTGCTTAATGCAGAAAAACTTACACCTGCTTTTGCACTTAGGTGAGTGACCCAAAACAGATGTGTCTGCAAACACATCTGAAAACTGCCTAAGAACACACTGTCTCACAAAAATCTTAGTGATTTCTTGCTGGCCTGAAATTTTCAAGAGAAGAATCTTTTTCCAAGACATTTTATTCACTTTAGTTTCTAAAGTGAAGCTTTAGTATCACTTTAGTTTCATCTGGGAAGCATGTGGGCAGCCAGAAAGAAAACCAAAGGGAAAAGAAAAAGCAAAGAAAAAGGAAAAATGGTAATTTCCAACCAAACATATACATCAAATATTTTGTCTACTCTGAATTGAGTTGATAATACTCGAAGAATTAAGTGGCCAGGTTTTGTTACCCTCAGGATAAACTGCTTCCCCCGTTCTTAGTTTGCCTCCAGAAAGTAACACCGTCAACAAGGGAAACAGAAGTCAAACTGTGGAAACAAGGGAGATTTCAATTGTTGTAAGTAATTGTAAGTGATGACCCAGCATCTGTGGAATTGGGAGCATCAGGACTGTAAATCCACATAAAGCTGAACGTTATGAATGGAAGCTGTCTAGTCTTTCCCAGCCTCCCATCTATTCCTGTTCTCACATTCAGATATGCTGCACTCAGAGCAATTCATCCTCTCCCAGCTTTGCTCTCTGCAAACAGCTGCTCGGGCTGTCCACAGTGACAGGTCATTAGCAGGCAGTTATTTTTTTCTGGACTGAGTGCACAGAAGTGGCAGTGCTATAAAAGCTTCCCTGCAGAGCTCCATGAACTGATCTGGGAAGAGCTCTTTCCCAATTTGCTGTGCTTCCTATTAGCAAAAATTGTCTTGAAAGCTCTGTGTCTTGTTGCTCACCTGCAACAGTCCTCTTTGATCATGTCCCAGGATTTTCAAAAAACTCAGTCATCAGCATCAGTTGCAAAGCTATTGCTATTCTAGTGCTGATCTTGTCACCATCACCCTCACATACAATATTCAGTTTAGCTGATGTGACTGAAGCCTACTGTGCCTTCACAAGTGGTACAATTATTTCAATTAAAGGTGTGAAGCCAATTCTCTTACAGAAATAGGCTTTACCTGTAAGAGTACTGCTCTAATTCTGTGGTTGTGTATCCAGCAGGAGAGGATACAACTTCACTGCCTGGTCCCATCCATTTATTGCAAGGAGATGTGGTTTTAATCCTGAACATCAGTGTTAATTTGCTACTTAATTCATACAATGCTTCCCATCATTCTGCGAATTGATCTCCAAAGATATCCCCTTCCATTTCAGCTGAGGAGCATCTCTGCACTTCTGAGAGATTTTTCTTTGGAAGTTTATGGCTAAGATCCTCTACTTTCCTATTCTAAAGAAGTACTGGCAAACTTGATATTTAATATTTTCATCAAATCCTTTCAAACCTGCCAACTTTTTCTTCTACGTCCCCTACTCCATAATTCCTGCTACTGAATTATTAGTGTCTCTCTAGCAGCTTCTTTATTCTAAGCAGTCAGGTTCTCTACCTCCTGCATTTGTACAGTGATTACACTGAGCCAGTCTTGTGACATACCAAGATTATAATTTTGACAGCAATTACAAGACCACAAGACCTGAACTGTCACAGAGCTGACTGGAGTACCAGAGGAGGAAGGAGTAGATTACAACAGAGAAAGGGAAGTTCGACTTATTTTTTTCCACTACCAAATAATTTTTCTGGATTTCCACAGATTTTCTTTAAATGCTGCACTGCTGCCCAAGACCCCAGACAGGAAGAGCTGCCTTACAGCTCCTGTGTTGCCAGCTGCTCTGAGCACACACAGCCAAAACAAGCCTGCTGTGTTCTATAGTGTTCCATGTCAGAGTTTCCAGTTTAGGCCCATG